CTATCTATCTATCTATCTATCTATCTATCTATCTATCTATCTATCTATCTATCTATCTATCTATCTATCTATCTATCTATCACACTGTTGATCGTACCTTCTCATTGGTTCTCTTCCAAAAGACCGCCAGTGTGAAGACAGCGGTGACGGGCGGGGCCAGGCAGCTTGTCACTGATTGGATATAATCATACAGCTGCCCACTGTTGGCTGACTGAAGGATGGGGATCCACACCACACTCACCACCACCAAGATCACTGTCACAATCCTGAGGCAAACACGAAGGGAATCAGCATGTCTCCTCACTAACCGATTCATCCTGCTATCAAAGCAAGAGGGACCTTTTGAAGTGTGCTTCTATGGAAAACGTTATGAACAACTAGTATCTTACCTGTTGTGAATAGCCCTTTGAATGACATCAATTTGAAGAAATAACGTTTTAATTCTGATCGAACTGATGAGATACGGTATAGACCGAGTGGGGCTAAGACCACAAGAAATTGCTGCCATCCTAAAGCAATTTCAGGGTTCGGGTTCTCCAACATGTTTGTTGTAAAAGTAATCTACATACTAACTGATCCTAACCTGTTCCACAGATCCCCACTTCAAAAGATATTGCGTTCAGGTTCATCTACTACAGGGTGAACCAGAGCAGTCCAGCTTATGTCCTGTGTACCTGCCAACCAACAGCAGCTCCCTCTCAGAGGCTTGCGGTCGATGTTTCTTCCAGATGTCCATGGTAAAGATGGTGGAGCTGCTGTTGAAGATGGAGGTCAGTGACGACATCAGAGCAGCCATCATCACGGCTATCATAAGTCCCCTCAAGCCTTAAACGCACAGAGTGGCACAGACATGTAGAAAGATGTGTTAAAAACATGCCAGTGTGTAAGTATTTCACTTTGAGTTAGAGACTCACCGCTTGGCATGAGCTCAATGACCAGTTTAGGAAAAGCAATGTTGGTACACCCCACCTCTGCTCCACAGATTTTCACACACTCCTCGGGGTCCACACATCCCACAGAGTCTGCAACATGAGCACACAGCTGAGTGCAGTTCGCACACACAGGGACGGAAAACAAAACATGATGTCTCATTTTCCACGAAACATGGATCTTCTGCACTTTGAGTTTTTTTTTAAATATATATCTGGCATAAATTAAATAAATAATCACAACAGGTAACTTAATGATTACATGTTTTATAAACTGCTGGTAAATTGAGTCGAAATAAAATGAATGCAGTTGAAAAAAGTTAAATATTGATTTTTGCCTTTCAGTCTGTGGTCCTTAATTAGCCATAAACAATTATTACAGCAGATAAAAAGAGTTCTGCTGTATGGATTAATTGGCAGAGTTGTAAAGTAACTAAGTACAAATACTTTGTTACTGTACTTAAGTGGAATTTTTGAGTATCTGTACTTTACTTGAGTAATTATTTTTCAGCATACTTTTTGCTTTTACTCATTACATTTTTACACAATTATACTTTCTACTCACTACATTTTTTTAAAAAAGGTAAGAAGTAGAAAGTCCTTACTCCTATTTTCTTCCGAGTTGTTTTTACTTAAAGAAAATACTATCCTGATAAATTATGTCTCCTGGATAGAGTGAATTTAATTGTGGTTGGATGAGAAGTGTAAATATGTACCATTCTGACACCCTGTTATCTTGTACACAACCCATCAGCTGCACGCCGTTAGAAAAAAAAATTTTTTTTTGAAAAGTCACCTCCCAATACATGTCATTTTGGAAAATCTAACTGCTCACTTTTACTCAGTACTTTTACTTTTAATACTTAAGTAGATTTTGCGTATGAAATTTACTTTTTATACATAAGTACAAAAAATATCAGCTACTTTAAAACTTTTACTCAAGTAATATTTTTAGAGAATACTTTAACTTTTACCAAAGTTCTTTTACTCAAGTATCACTTTGAGGTACTTTATACAACACTGTTAATTGRTAAAGTCCAGTGTTGTATAAAGTACCTCAAAGTGATACTTGAGTAAAAGTACAAGTATAATATCATAAAATTACTTTGGTAAAAGTTAAAGTCTCCTCTTACTTGAGTAAAAGTCTTAAAGTATCAGATTTTTTTGTACTTAAGTAAATTTCTGATACAAAAGTATTAAAAGTAAAAATATTGAGTAAAAATGAGTGCTTAGATTTTCCAAAATACATTCATTGGTAAGTGACTTTTCAAAAAAAAAATTATTTTTTTCTAAAAACATGCAGCTGTGATGGATTGTGTAAAGATTAATACAGTATCAGAATGGTTTATTTATGTATACTTTTCATCCAACTATAATTAAATTCACTCTATCCTGGAGGCACGATTTGTATGTATAGTATTTTTTAACACCAAAAAGTCGAAACAAAATAAGAGAAGTGACTTTCTACTTTTTAACTTTATTAAAAATGTAAGGAAAGTACAGATAACTGTAAAAATGTAAGGAAAGTACAGATAAATGTGTAAAACTGTAAGGAGTAGAAAGTACAGATAACTGTAAAAATGT